ATTACATTAATTTGCAAGATCCCAGTGGGATGAAAGGTAGTAAGTGAGGTTGGGGATGGGTCACCTAGGGTCGACGCCCAGCCCTAATTTTTATATTTTATATTTCTTGTAGAGATGAGCTTTCTCTCTATTGCTAAGGCTAGTCTCGGACTCCTGGTCTTAAGTGATCCACTGCCCCTTGGTCCCCTGAAGGGCTGGGATTACAAGCATGAACCACCATGCCTGGCCAATCTATTTATTCTCGAGTGAGCTTTTCTAGTTTGTGTCTTCCAGAGAATTTGTTCATTTCATCTAAGTTGTCAAATTTATTGGCATAAAGTTGTTTACAGATCTCCATTTTAATATCTGTAGAATCTGAGTGCCCTGGTAGTTTTCTTCATGTTTCTTGTGTTTGGGGATTTTGAACTTTTTGGAACTGTTGGCTTATAGTTTTTATCAAGTTTGAAAATTTGGGGCCATTGTTTCTTCACATATTTTTTTGTTACCCCTTTTTCTCCTTGCCTTTATGTACTCGTATATATTAGGCTGCTTAATATATCAGTGAGTGTTGAGACAACACTCACTGATAATCTGTAAAACAGAAATTTTCTTTTTTTTTTTTTAGACAGGGTTTCATTCCATTGCCCGGGCTGGAGTGCAGTGATGCAATCTCAGCTCACTGCAACCTCTGCCTCTCGGGCTCAAGCAGTTCTCCTGCCTCAGCCTCTCAAGTAGCTGGTACTACAGGTGCACGCCACCATGCCCAGCAAATTTTTGTACTTTTTGTTGAGATGGAGGCTTCATGATGTCGCCCAGGCTGGTCTCGAAATCCTGGGCTCAAGTGATCTGCCTGTCTGGGCTTCCCAAAGTGCTGGGATTACAGGCGTGAGCCACTGCACCCCACCCTTAAATTATTTTTTGAGATGGAGTCTTGTTCTGTCACCCAGGCTGGAGTGCAGTGGCATGATCTCAGCTCACTGCAAACTCCACCTCCCGGTTCAAGTGATTATTCTGCCTCAGCCTCCTGAGTAGCTGGGACTACAGGTGTATGCCATCAAGCCCGGCTAATTTTTGTATTTTTAGTAGAGACAGGGTTTCACCATATTTGCCAGACTGGTCTCGAACTCCTGACCTTGTGATCTGCCCATCTTGGCCTCCCAAAGTGCTGGGATTACAGGCAAGAGCCACCACGCCCGGCTCATTTTTTCTTTACATCTTTCAATGTGGATAGTTTCTATTGCCATCCCTTCACATCATTATTCATTTTCTTCTTCAATGTCTAATCTGTCCTTAATCCCATCTGGTGTATTTTTTTTATCTCTAGAAGTTCTGTTTGTTTATATACACATTTTTTCCATGTTTTTATTGAATTATTACACATACAGAACACAGTTATAGAAACTATTTTGGACTGGATGTGGTGGCTCATACCTGTAATGCCAGCACTTTGGGAGGCTGAGGCAGGAGGATTCCTTGAGGCCCAGAGTTTAAGACCAACCTGGGCAGCATAGTGAGACCCATGTCTCTAAAAAAAAAAAACTTTTAAATAATTGGCTAGGCGCGGTGGCTCACGCCTGCAATCCCAGCATTTTGGGAGGCCAAGGCGGGTGGATTACCTGAGGTCAGGAGTTTGAGACGAGCCTGGCCAACATGGTGAAACCCCGTCTCTACTAAAAATACAAAACTTAGCCGGGCAGTGGCGCGTGCATGTAATCCCAGCTACTCGAGAGGCTGAAGCAGGAGAATTGCTTGAGCCTGGGAGACAGAGGTTGCAGTGAGCCGAGATCGTGCCACTGCACTCCAGCCTGGCTAACAGAGCGAGACTCTGTCTCAAATAATAATAATAATAAATAAAAGAAAAACGGAATGCAAAAATTCCCAGCACTAAACAAGGCAACATTCACAACATCTGGCATGAATCATTCTTGTCTTTTTAAAATAATTTTTCTAGCTGAGAATATGTGACTGTACATTTTATTTTCTATTGAAGGACTTCAGTTGTCTGATTCATAAATTAAACTTCATTAAATTCATAAATTAAACTTCCCGATTACTTAAGAAATTCCATAAATCTATAAATTAAATGTACATTTTTTTAAACTTCCCCAAACGTAGGATGGTTCTACGAGGTCATAATTAAATGTTTTACATGGGTTGTGATCTAATTCTTTTAAATGTTTTAACAGTTTACAACCCTTAACAGTTCTAATGGGAATCATAATCTAAATCAAACCCACCTCACTTTATATTTCCAAATTGCGGATTACCAATGGTGGGCATTTTTTTTTTTTTTTTTTTTTTGAGGTCTGCCCTGTCACCAGGGGCTGCGGAGGTAACAGTTGGTTTGGTGGCTCTCGCTCACTGAACTGCTGGGACTCCGGTTCAAGTGATTCTTTTGCTCAGCCGCCAGCAGTTGGGCACTATAGGGCGCACATTGACCACCCATGCCCTAATTTTTGTGTTTTTTTTCTATAGAGGCAGGGTTTGCCATATTGGGCTAGGCTGGGTCTCGAACGTCCCGGACTGTGTTGATCCGCCTGGCCTCAGCTTCCAAAGTGTTGGATTACGAGCATTGAGACACCACGGCCAGTCGTTAGGCATGGATATTCTAACAGGTCAGTATTCTCTCTTTAACAATAATTAGTATTTATTTGGTTTATCTTATTTATTTTAGAGAGAAGGTCTCACTCGTCACCCCAGGGCTGGGTCAGTGGTGCCATCATGCTCATTTATAAACCATGATTCTCCTGGGTTGAGTGGATCCTCCACCTCAGGCCTTCCCGAGGGTAGGGTGACTACAGGCGCGGTGCCCAGCCCAGTCCCCAAGCTAATTTTTATAATTCAGTAGAGGGACAGGGGTCTCCACTCTGTTCACCGTAGGCTGGAGTGCGGTGGTACAATCATAGCTCACTGTAGCCTTGACCTCCTGGGCTCGAGCGATCCACTCCCCTCAGCCTCCCAAAGTGCTGGAACTACGGGCACATGCCACCTGCACAATTTGACATTGCTGGACCTCTCCCAGCCTGGGGAGCAAACCCCCTGCCCCATCTTCTTGCTTTACTTTCTGGGTCAGGATCCTCATGGCTGATTTTGAACTGAAATCAGCAAGCTGATTCAGGGACCAGGGACTTTCCAGGGCAGGGAGTAGAGACTCAGAGGCTTCAAGAGAATGAAGGAGGATCGTGACTCTGGGAAACTAACTTCCCTTTGTCTCTTTCAGACCTCAGTGTGAACAGGGCTGTGTGGGATGGAGGAGGGTGCATCTCCCAAGGGGACCTCTGGGACCCTCAGTGCCAGCAGCTGTCTCAGAGCTTTGAGAAAGGTAAGGCAACGGACTGCAAGATCTGGGAAGATGGCTTACCTGCAAAAGGGCTAGAGCGACCCCTGCCAGGCTGGTGAAGCTGCCACATTTTACAGTGTGTGATGGCTTGTGATCTGGGGCCAGGAATTACGGGCAGGCATGGAATCACCCAAGCAGGGACTGTGGAAGAAAGGGGGTTCAGGTTGAGTTCAATTCCTAACAGTGTAGAAGGGAAGGCAGGAGAGACTAAAACACTGGAGAAACTGATTCCACTTCATCCTGAAAATGAATAATGACATCACTCATCTGAACACATTTTCAGTAAAAAGCCCAACTGAAACAATCACTCCTGACATAGAGAACCCGAAGAAACTCCTAAAGAAAACATCATTGTATCTTAAACAGGTTCTGTGGCGAACATCACCATAGGCACAACACCTACAAACTTCGTGGAGCAAGGAATATCTTTGAGAGACAGCGCCAACCCTGAGATGACCTTGATTGAGTACAGTGTGGATTCAGACACTTCTGGTGTCTCCAGTGACAGGAGGACACGAACACAAATCATAAAAACTTCAGAATCTACCAGTGACGCCACTACACCTTTCCCCGGTTCTACTGAAGATACTTCATCTCCTAAAACGCCCGAAGGCACCAACATGTGCATGTCAACACTGACTGAAGAAAGCACTTCATCAACAACGGATTTGGTCAGCACTGCACCTCAGAGCAGTTCAGAGGCGAGCACGTCTTTAACACCTGTGGTTGATACGAGCACACCTCTGACCACTTCTGTTCAGGCCAGTTCATGTCCTACTATTCCTGAAAGCACCACCATGCCCAAATCAACTGACAGTGAAGGAAGTACTCCATTATCAATTGTGCCTGTCAGCACCACGCCGGTGGCCACTTCTGAGGCTAGTACCCTTTCAACAACTCCTGTTGACACCAGCACACCTGTGAGCATTTCTACTGAAGCAAGTTCTTCTCCTACAAGTGCTGAAAGTTCCAGCATGCCAACCTCAACTCCTAGTGAAGGAAGCACTCAATTAACAATTATACCTGTCAGCACCACGCTGGTGGCCAGTTCTGAGGCTAGCACCCTTTCGACAAATCCTCTTGACACCAGCACACCTGGGAACACTTTCACTGAAGCCAGTTCATCTCCTACAGCTGCTGACGGTACCAGCATGCCAACCTCAACTCCTAGTGAAGAAAGCACTCCATTAACAAGTCTGGTGGTCAGCAACACGCCGGTTGCCAGTTCTGAGGCTGGCGCCCTTTCAACAATTCCTGTTGATACCAGCACACCAGTGACCACTTCTACTGAAGCTCGTTCACCTCATACAATTGCTGAAAGCAGCGGGATACCAATCTCAACTCCTAGTGAAGAGAGCATCCCATTAACAAGTATGACAGTGGGCACCACGCTGGTGGCCAGTTCCGTGGCTCACACACTTTCAACAACTCCTATGGACAGCAGCACCCCTGTGACCACCTCCACCGAAGCCAGTTCACCTCGTACAACTGTTGAAAGTACCAGCGTACCAATCTCAACTCCTAGTGAAGGAAGCACTCCATTAACAAGTATGCCAGTCAGCACCACACCGGTGGCCAGTTCTGAGGCTACCACCCTTTCAACAACTCCTGCTGACTCAAACATTGCTGTGACCACTTCTAGTCAAGTCAGTTCTTCTAGTACAATTGCTAAATCTACTAGCATGCCAACCTCAATTCCTAGTGAAGGAAGCACTCCATTGACAAGTATGCCTCTCAACACCACGCCAGTGGCCAGTTCTGAGGCTAGTACCCTTTCAACAACCTCTGTTGACACGAGCAAACCTGTCATCACTGCTACTGAAGCCACTTCACCTCCTACAATTGCTGAAGGTACCAGCAGGCCAACCTCACCTCTCAGTGAAGGAAGCACTCCATTCACAAGTATACCTGTGAGCACCACACTGCAGGCCAGTTCTCAGGCTAGCACCCTTTCAACAACTCCTGTTGACACCAGCTCACTGGTGACGACTTCAACTGCAGCCAGTTCATCTCCTAGAACTTCTGAAGGTACCAGCATGCCAACCTCAACTCCTCGTCAAGGAAGCACTCCATTAACAAGTATGACAGTGGGTACCACGCAGGTGGCCAGTTCTGAGGCTAGCACCATTTCAACAACTCCTGTTGACACCAGCACACCCTTGACCACTTCAACTGTAGCCAGTTCATCTTCTACAACTGCTGAAGATATGAGCATGCCAACCTCAACTCCTAGTCAAGGAAGCACTCTAGTAACATTTATAACATTGGGCACCACACCGGTGGCCAGTTCTGAGGCTACCACCTTTTCAACAACTCCTGCTGACTCAAATATTGCTGTGACCACTTCTAGTCAGGTCAGTTCTTCTAGTACAATTGCTGAAGCTACTAGCATGCCAACCTCAATTCCTAGTGAAGGAAGCACTCCATCGACAAGTATGCCTCTCAACACCACGCCAGTGGCCAGTTCTGAGGCTAGCACACTTTCAACAACCTCTGTTGACACGAGCAAACCTGTCATCATTGCTACTGATGCCAGTTCATCTCCTACAATTGCTGAAGGTACCAGCATGCCAATCTCACCTCCCAGTGAAGGAAGCACTCCATTCACAAGTATACCTGTCAGCACCACACTGCAGGCCAGTTCTCAGGCTAGCACCCTTTCAACAACTCCTGTTGACACCAGCACACCCTTGACCACTTCAACTGTAGCCAGTTCATCTCCTACAACTGCTGAAGGCACGAGCATGCCATCCTCAACTCCTAGTCAAGGAAGCACTCCATTATCAAGTATGACAGTGGGCACCACGCAGGTGGCCAGTTCTGAGGCTAGCACCTTTTCAACAACTCCTGTTGACTCCAGCACCCCTGTGATCACTTCTACTGAAGCCAGTTCATCTGCTACAACTGGCAAAGTTACCAGCATGCCAACCTCACCTCCTAGTGAAGCAAGCACCCCATTAACAAGTATACCTGTCAGCACCACGCCACTGTCCAGTTCTGAGGCTAGTAACCTTTCAGCAACTCCTGTTGTCACTGGCACAACTGTGATCATTTCTACTCAAGCCAGTTCAGCTACAACTGCTGAAGGTACCAGCATGAAAACCTCACCTCCCATTGAAGGAAGCACTCCAGGAACAATTATGCCTGTCAGCACCACGCTGCCTGCGAGTTCTGAGGCCAGCACCCATTCAACAACTCCTGTTGACACCAGCATACCTGTGACCATTTCTACTGAAGCCAGTTCATCTCGTACAAGTGCTGAAGGTACCCGCATGCCAACCTCAACTCCTAGTCGAGGAAGCACTCCAGTAACAACTATGTCATTGGGCACCACACTGGTGGCCAGTTCTGAGGCTAGCACCCTTTCAACAACTCCTGTTGACTCCTACTTTCCTGTGACCACTTCTAGTGAAGCCAGTTCTTCTACTACAATTGCTGAAGCTACTAGCATGCCAACCTCAATTCCTAGTGAAGGAAGCACTCCATTGACAAATATGCCTCTCAGCACCTCACCAGTGGCCAATTCAGAGTCTAGCACCCTTTCATCTACCTCTGTTGAAACAAACAAACCTGTGATCATTGCTACTGAAGCCAGTTCATCTCCTACAATTGCTGAAGGTACCACGATGCCAACCTCATCACCTAGTGAAGGAAGCACTCGATTCACAAG